GATTTTGGGTTCCTAGCATCCTAAAAAGGAATTGCTGTCAAGAAAAGCACTTAACCAAGATTTCATTCATCAATACCCACTTAGTTAAATGTTTAAAACTGTGAGGTACAGGGCAGCTGGAATCAGAAATGAATCAGAAATTAACTGAAATACTGTATTTTGACATTACACAGATGGCAGTTTTCTGACTGTTTTTCAGTCTTTGTTCTCAAAACACACTCTGCTTATTTGTTTGTGGCACAGCTGTGATCTGAATTTGGCTTTTTGGGGCTCTTTATTGAGTGAATGGCATGAATTTGAAATTTGAATAATTAAATTGACGTAAAACGAAACGTGTTTAGCTGATGTTCACAAATTTTTCAGTTGTGCTAAACTGAATTATTATTAGGTGTCAATGCAATGGGGAGAAAAACTAGGTGTTTGTAAACACTGGTGTTCATCAAATAAATTCCTCGATTATTTGAGCAATGAGTTTTGTAATTACCGTATTTCCCCAACAATAGGCCGCGGGTTATACATAAATTTTACAAACCTGCGTATTGGGTGCGGTTTTTAGTTTTTTATCTAAAAACATGAAAATGCATTCACTAAAAGTATAATTCAGTGAACAAAAAGATGACATACCCAAATGATTCGTTGAATTTAAATGTACAGTGGTACCTCAGAACTTGAACTTAATCTGTTCAGAAATTCGGATCGAATCCTACAAAGTTTGAGTTCTGATCGAATTTTCCCCATAAGAAATAATGGAAAACCAATTAATTGGTTCCCGGCCCCCAAAAAAATTACACCTAAATATGTTTTCTTTAGCATTTAAACACAAAATGAACCGGATAAAACAAAAAGAGCATATACTGTACTAAACACATCTAAGCACATTTATCAAAACAGTAATTTGTAAAGTAAGAAAATAAATGTATCCAAACAATGTGTAAAGTTAAAAAAAAAATGTCCTGTCCCGATCGTCCGCTCCTTCCGGGTAATTAAATGTTTAATTATTAAAAGTTTAATAAAAATGTATATTTCTATCTATGGCTGATAAAGGTTAACAGTAACAGAGATTACTGGTGTGCATGGACAAACAGTAGAAATGTTTAGAAAAGGGGAATATCTGGTTGTTTACTGTCTCCATTGCATCCTTCAGCAGAAAATTGCCCTTTACAGTGGTAGCTGTACAAAGTACAGCCTGAAACTGGTACCAAAAAAGCAGCCACACACATGGAAAATAGTGTTTATTTTCTAGAAATATTTCTACCAAGATTCTCAACCTCATACTTTTCATACTTTTTAATCCTGTAAATGAAAAGCCCATGGGCTGGCTTGTCAACCATTTATCAGTCTATTGTGATCAGTGTGGATGGTATTTTCTGCCAGTTATTTAAGGCCATATTTACTTTACAGTGCCTCCCACTGCTGTTTAAACTTGCTGGTCAGAAGCAGGTCCTGATCGCTGCCGCGGATGTCAGGACATGATGCTTTCGTATCTGCAGGTCTCTTGTGTATTTTCTGAGGGCTCTGAGTCTTGCAGCCTCCTGGAATGAAATTGAGTTTATTTCAGGTATTTTTTTTTGGATGAGTCTACCTCTGTCACTCGTTTTGAAGTTATCCTTGGGGTAAACATGGTTTCGATTTAAGCAGATCAGAGGCTCTGATCTGTCGACGAATCGTAACAAGTATGAATCCACTGTGGTAACACACTTGTGGTTATGGAATCACACTACACTGCCTCCTACTGGGCGGGTGAGTCATTACGTCGCTGTGTTTCCTGCAGATTCCAGAGGTCTGGAGATGTCTGTATGAGAGTGAAGTGGCATGACTTTCCTCATCTTTTTGGACAAGACAGTGCATCTTTCTGACTCTCTGCTTCCTTCTATCTATGCTGCAGTTGGTCTTTTTCAGTTTGCTTCCTGAATGGTGCCAGCATTTGTTTTTCTGGACATGATCCATGCACTTAATTTGGAACTGCCTCTAAAAGCCTCTCCCAACCTGTGACCTCTACACACTGTGTCAGTGCTGATCAGCATTGCCTGCTTAAACCGTTTTAGATTCACTAATGTGGACTGGCAGCAGGCTGTCTGCTAACAACACCTACCCTGCACTGTAAGTACAATCCTTAATAATGTGATGCAGTGTCTTAGCCAGTATTTGTAATCAGCTTGATTTTCAGACTTCACATTGGATGTCCAAAATTATTCCATCATAGAGCTCTCTCAAAGGTCCAACAGCCATTTCTTCTTTTCTGATTACTAAACTCCCTGTAAAGTTTTTCAGTCCCAAGTCACCCTGTGAGAGGTGGTGACATAGCTGACTATCACTCTTTCTCTAGGAACACCTGAATTGGATTCTATTAATATGGCAAAAAAGTACAATACCTGAGCATCAGGATTAAAGGCATTATTATTTTACACCTTATAGTGACTGATAACAGGAACTGTTAATTTAAGATTTGTATTAGTGCTTAACCAAAGAGGAAACTGCCTTGCCTGGGAACAAGGTAGCGATAGAGAGCATTGTGCCTCTCTGTGGGGAATGTGAGGACATAGGACAGCGGAGTGCCTGTTGGAGGCTGGTGTGAGGATGAAGGGGAGTGGAACACCTGTACAGGGCTGGTGTGTGGGTATAGGACAGCTGGATTCTAGTATATGGCTGATGTGAGGGTGTTGGGCAGTGGAGCACCTGTAGGGAGCCTATGTGAGGGTGTAGGACAGTGGGGCCCCTGTAGGGAACTGATGTGAAGGTGTAAGATAGCAGGGTGCCTGTACATGGCTGATGTGAGGGTGTTGGGCAGTGGAGCACCTGTAGGCGGCCTAAGTGAGGGTGTAGGACAGTGGGTTTCCTGAAGGGGGCTGATTTAGGGATGTAGGACAGCAGGGTGCCTGTATATGGTTGATGCACTAAAATTGCCTACTGTGGCCTTATCAAAATCTGGCCACCTAGTCATCCCCTGTATCTAACTGATGTATTCTCTCCTGCCCCTTCACCACCTCAGCTAATGTGTGGTGAGCGTACTGGCGCAGAATGGCTACTATCGCATCATCCAGGTGGGTGCTACGGTGACTCCCTATTGCTTATGTAATGAGCTTTGGTGTCATGAAAAGTGCTATATAAATGCAACATTCATTCATTCTTTCATTTATTGGACAGCGGGGCACCTGTAGGGGGCTGATGTGAGAGTGTAAGGCAGCAGGTTGCTTGTGGGGGGCTGATGTGAGGGTGTAGGACAGCGGGTTGCATGTGGGGGGCTGATGTGAGGGTGTAGGACAGCAGGGTGCCTGTATGTAGCTGATGTGAGGGTAGGACAGCAGGGTCATCATGACTTAACCCGTCAGGGTGGCTGCCTATGTCCAAACTGCTCTTTAAAATAAATAAAAATAAAACTGTTTGCCTATGAGCACCCAGGCTGTGTGAAAGCATCTTAGAGTGTAGGCAGGTAACTTGGCGAGGCAGGTGGCTGGGACTCCGGCCTCTCCATGCTGAATGGAGCATTGGTGCTGATATGCACAGCTGATGTGCACAAGCCTGCATTATCGTGCGGATTGCTCATTCTAATCAAAGCTGAGTGCCTCAGTATCTCCAGCCCTACATGGCCAGTGAGCATATCGTGTCAAATCCTCTCAGTCATCAGCAGGTTAGGGATGTATTATTACATCAACAAGCTGCCTCAGTCCACTTTGAGGCTGAATCAGTTCCTCTATCGGGATGAGGTTAGCGTCAATAAATCATGCACCGGTGGTCCATGTTGCCATATGCTTTGCTGTCGGGGTTCCCCTCTGTGACAGGAGTCCATTACTGTGGCATCTCTGTCATTTCCCAGGCTGCATCTGTGCACTGAAAAAAGAAAGGGGAGATGGCTGGTTGTGAGCATTACCCAGAAAGTAGGCTCAGGGTCCTCTCAAGCTTGGTCTATTACCAGGATGATGATGATGATGATGACCAAGACAGACCGCTAAGCCCATGAACCCCCCAAAACACTTCTAAAACATTTGAATGACGTAAATAAATAAGGTGGTCGGGAATTAAAAGTTTCCACCAGGGTCTAAAGGGGAAAGATTGTTCATGAATGACTTAATGTATCCTAAGTCTGGATCCTAATAAACATCTCCACTGACACATTAGCATCAGCGTCTGACAACGTGACATCTCGTGCAAAACAAACAAGCAGAGTCCGCTCTCTGTTTCTGATTTGTTAAAGATATTACTGAACTTTCCTGGAAAGCATGTGGCAAATAGCTTAAATATCTCTGGAAAATGAGAACAGTAATAGGATAAACACTCATCTCCAGAAGAGTGCTGGCCTTCTGTTTGTGACTGTGTGTTATTTTCCATGTCTGTTTGTCTGAGAGCCCCCAGTGTCAGCAGGTGACCTCTGTCTCGCATGGGAGAGTCCCCCCCCTCCCCACCCCCACTCCCCGCCACGCGCTAGCTGCTATCTCCTTGCCATGACTGAGATGGTGCCATAATTCCAGAGTCTGGGAAAGGTGGCAGGTCGGCCGTGCTCCTTAGAAGGAAGAGTTGAGGTGTTGGGAGCCCGTTAGCCAGCACTACGCGTCCCTGTGCCCAGGCTATTTATGAAACATCTGGAATATCCTAACGAGAGCACATTAAAAGCAGGCCAAAGCTGTTAATTACATTAGGGACATTACAAGAGGACCATGGTGAAGTCAGAGGCTAAATATGGTGTTGCAGGCAGCCTCTGTTCAGCTAAGCAACTGAAAGCTTCCCAGTCACGCTGTGGCTGACAGCGGTTCCTATCTGGGCTCAGTGGATCCCACACTCCTGATTTTTTAATTCCTCGATAGCCTCTGGCTTGCCGAAGCCTAAGCGGGGGCTACATGAAAGCGCGGAGCACCTACAGCGATTGTGGGGGGAGCCGTGAGCTCAGTTAAGGCACGTTGCCGGAGAGGGAAGAGAAGCCGGGGCCGGCAACGGGCACTCTGATTGGCCAGGGGGTGGGGTCTTTCTGGAGGAGGACAGGCAGAGAGAGGTGGGAGGGGGAAGCAAGCAGAGGAAAAGGGGCTGTGCTCCAGCTGGTAATGCCTGTCACTCAAGGCCGGTGATAGGAGCGACGGAGCAGAGCTGCAGCTGAGAGGCAGAGCCGAGGAGAGCAGGAACGAGGGGGGGCGCTGAGAGTGAGAGGAAATCTGGAAAGTTCAGTGGAGGAGGATGAGCACTGCAGGCAGCTGAATCTGGGACAGTAAGGAGCCAGGAGGACCTGGAGCACAGGGAGCAGGATCTGAGTAAGCGGGAGATGAGCCCCGCAGGAACGGCTAGACCCCGAGTACCTGGCAGTGGAACGGCGAGCCTGGGGTGAGCGTATGTGTTCGCCTTCCAGCAACCCGGGACAGAGACCACTCTGCCCCTATCCACACGCCAAGTTGACGCCGGGACTGACATCTCACAGAAGGACTGTTTTCCAAGACATGAGAGTGTGGGAGTGTGAGAGCAGCCATGGAGAAGTCGAGTAGCGAGGAGTCGGCCATCCACCGCAGCCCCTCGTTGGACAGCCACGACTCTGACTTTGCCCGTGCCTCTGCCCAGGGCCGCCCCTTCGGGGGCCGTGGCTTCACTGCCGGTGCCTTCTACGGCACAACGGGCCCCCGTGGAGGGTCCACTGGCACCGCAACGGTTGGGGACAAGTACAAGTCACCCAAGAGTGGGAAGTACGTGGTGTTTTACCTGGACCTGTCCTTTGTGTTCCTCCTAGAGTTCAAGAAGTGTGACATGGCACAGGGCTGCCTTTGCTGCTTGAAGTACATGATGTTCCTCTTCAACCTCATCTTCTGGGTAAGTGCAGCAACTCCGCCTCTCACCTCCTGGCTCTGATCTCTTCTCCTCCCTCGCATTATCGCATGTATTCTCCTTTTCTTGTTAGTGGTTCTCAAACCGCATCTCCTCGTCCATGCTCCCCGCTTGATCCTCTCCTAGTTTTCATCCTCTGGCTGCACGTGCGCAGTTGAGCTGCATGGGGAGATCGTGCCAGCCTCTAGCATAGGCAGATCCTTGAAGTTTGCCGGCTGTGGGTTTCTGTACTGCAGCACAGGGTCACAGCTCTGTCAGAAATAACCTTTGAGATGTTTCGCTCTCACGTATACAAAGGCTGTTTTTCTGTACTGTTATCAGATTTCTCCTATGTCTGCAAATCATGCGTTTGACAGTTCAGAGTGCTGGGGGTTCGTAGCATCGTCTCAGCCATTTGTGGAACTCAGAGAATCCTTTCCGTTTCAGAAGCATGGGATTGTGGGATTAGCATGCAAGTTGTGCTGCATTAGCCCTCTTTGGAGATTGATCCCTGTAGCTGTGGTGTTGAAAGTGGCATCTGCAGTGGCAGTGTCATGCTGTAAGACAGTGACAGAGAGGCGAGGTGTCTGGGGGGTGGGCATCTTGTCCCCGGCAGCCCCCTTCACAGATGGTGAGTGCTGGGGGGGGGTGCAGGGTCCCCAGTGTGTCTGCTAGCATGAGCTTAAGTATTATAGTGTCACCCATTCAGGGTGCCGTGGGGGTTGCATTCTGTCATACCCCCTATCTCCTCTGCTTCTCATCCTCTGACCCCCCCCCCCCCCAGGGCATGATATCAGCCCCCACTGAGCAGGCCCTGGCGGAGGTGGCCTCTTAAGTTTCTAGCACTAACCTAAAAGGGAGATCCTTGAAGGGGGGTTGGGTGGAGTTTCAGGACAGGAGGGCAGCACATGTCAAGACCGTAGTGTGGCTGTTCAGGAACGAGGGGGTGTGTGATATATAGCCTTGTAGTGGACTCTTACCCTGATATTTAACTGGAATATGATTTAACACATAGCAATTTTGATGTACCTATTCTAATATATTTTTACATACTGTGTAAAGTAAAACATCTCATATAATAATATTTTTATATGTATATATCAAAATGAAGCATAAGCAGTGAATAGTGTGAATCTTTGTGAATGGTAAGGTTATGCTACAGGTTCCCGACTGTTCCCCCTCCTTGGCCCCCTGGCCCTACCTCTGCTCCCTCACCCTCAGCCCCAAAGCAGCTGCTTGCTGCCATATGGTTCCTCTGTCTGACGGGATTAGACCGGCCTTCATTGAACTCATGATGACCTGTCCAGCCCCCCCCCCTTCCCCCCGGAACATTCTTCCAGACCGTCCCGGTGAGCTGCCCATACCATCCTTCCCAGCGGGAACTTTCTGGGAGGTGCCCTGAACAAGACAAACTACTGTAATTGCCTACTCTTGTCACACCCTAGATTCTTCATTATCTTGTATTGCTCTCTGGAAGTCTCCACCATGGTCCTCCTGGAGCTGGTAGCCACCCCCCCACTACCCCTCCTCACAGAAATGTGCTGCCGCACGCTCACTAAAACTGCAGAAACAACACTTTCTTTGTTAGTGGGCAGCATTGTCATTGTTTGATATTCATTTGTGGAGAATTGTTTTTGTATGCCCTGCAGATCATCACGGTAATGCCATCGCACCCTGTCACCCGGGGGTAGGGGGCTATGAGATGAAAGGCGCCTGTGTTAGTGCTCACCGAGGTTCAGTTGAGTCTGCTGCAATATGCAGCCCAGGATCGCAAAGGGGGGAAGCCCACTGATGATAATAGCAGCCCTTCCCACACACACACACACACACACACACACTCACCCCTCTCCCATCCCCACACACACACACTCACCGCGACCCTCCCACCCCCCAGTTAATACAGTCCGTTCGAATTCATGTGCACTAAGAATCAAGACGCATAAAAAGATCCAGTCCGATATACACTCACCTAAAGGATTATTAGGAACACC